AATGGTGGTGAGTACAGGGATCCGATTGAGAAGTATTGCCGACTCCATGGCATTAAACTTCAGAAGAGTGTTCTAAAGACTGCGCAACATAATGCCGTGGTAGAAAGAATGAACAGAACTATTACCGAAAAGGTTAGGTGTATGCTCTCGAATGCAAAGCTGCCTAAGTCATTTTGGGGTGAAGCCATGCAGACAGCAGTTGATTTGATCAACCTATCTCCCTCAGTTCCGTTGGATGGTGATCTACCACAGTGAGTTTGGATAGGGAAAGATGTCTCATTTGGACATTTGCGAGTTTTTGGTTATCGTGCCTTTGTTCATATTCCCAAAGACGAAAGGTCAAAGCTTGATGGCAAATCCAAGCAGTGTGTATTCTTGCGGTATGGAAATGATGATTTTGGATACAAACTTTGGGATCCTATAGAGAAGAAAGTTTTCAGAAGCAGAGATGTGATCTTCTTTGAAAACCAGACCATTGATGATATGGGAAAGGGCGAGATACTAGAATATTCACCTGAGATTCCTGATGATCTAGATCTAGTTCCTCCACAATCAGATGATTCTTTTGAAGGGGGAGCTGAGACAGAGCAGGATGGTGAGTTTGATGATGATCCTGCTACTGAAACAGGGACACCACCGGTTTCATCACCTCCTGTTCAGAGACAAGAGACCTTCCACCAGGTACAGTGCTCATGAGTATCTGTTGCTTACTGATGGGGGAGAACCAGAGTCATATGAAAAGGTTCTTAGTCATGAGCAGAAAGATCAGTGGTTAGCCGCCATGCAAGATGAGATCAAATCCTTGCATGAGAATAACACGTATGACCTGGTGAAGTTGCCTAAGGGCAAGAGAGCACTCAAGAACAAATGGGTGTTTAGACTGAAAACAAGTGAGAACAGCTCGCAACCAAGGTTCAAAGCTAGATTGGTTGTGAAGGGATTCAATAAGAGAAAGGGCGTAGACTTTGATGAGATATTCTCTCCTGTTGTAAAGATGTCTTCGATCTGAGTTGTGTTTAGGATAGCAGCCAGCTTGAATCTTGAGATTGAACAGCTTGATGTGAAGACAGCCTTCTTGCATGGTGATTTGGAAGAAGAGATTTACATGGAGCAACCAGATTGGTTCCAGGAGAAGGGGAAAGAAAAGCTTGTATGTCATCTCAACAAAAGCTTGTATGGGTTGAAGCAAGCTCCGAGGCAGTGATACAAGAAGTTTGATGCCTTTATGATAGGCAAGGATACAAAAGGACCATAGCCGATCACTGTGTGTTTGTGAAGAAATTCTCTGATTGTGATTTTAAAATTCTTTTGCTTTATGTCGATGACATGTTGATCGTTGGTCATGATACTGCAAAGATTGCCAGGAAGAAAAAGGAGTTGAATAAGTCCTTTGCAATGAAGGATTTGGGTCCAGCTAGACAGATCCTTGGGAAATAGATTTCTCATAACAGACAGAATGGGAAACTTTGGGTATCTTAAAAGAATTATATTGAGAAGGTTCTTGATAGGTTTAACATGAGCGGTGTAAGGAAGTCTCGACTCCACTTGCGGGGCATTTTAAGCTAAGCAAAATGCAGTGTCCTAAAAGTGAGAAAGGTAAGGAAGAGATGAAAAAAGTTCCTTATGCTTCGGCAGTTGGCAGCCTGATGTATGCGATGGTTTGCACAAGGCCAGACATAGCTCATGCAGTTGGTGTTGTTAGTCGGTTTCTCTCCAATCCTGCTAAGGAGTATTGGAATGCTGTGAAATGGATTCTCAGGTATCTTAGGGGTACTTCCAGATTGAGTCTTTGCTTTGGCAATGGGAAGACCATGTTGGATGGATATACAGATGCTGACATGGCCTGTGACCTTGATGGTCGGAAGTCTACTTCTGGATACATGATGACTTATGGAGAGGGAGCAGTTTCATGGCAGAGTAGGTTGCAGAAGTGTGTTGCTTTGTCTACAGAGGTAGAGTTTATCGCATCTACTGAATCTTGTAAGGAAGTACTTTGGTTGCAGAAGTTTCTACAAGAGCTTGGCATGAAGCAAGAGAGGTATGTGGTGTATTGTGATAGCCAGAGCGTTATTCACTTATCTAAGAATTCCACATTCCATTCATGGTCTAAACATATTGATGTGAGATATCATTGGATTCAGATGTGTTGGAGTCCAAGGCATTGTTTCTTGAGAAGATTCATACGGATGACAATGGTGCCGATATGTTGACGAAGACTGTGACTAGAGACAAGCTCCTGTTTTGCAGATAGGAAGCTGGTTTGGTTTTATCCCCCAATTGAGGTGAAGGGAGAGATTGTTGGGCTGGTCGTTCCCCTCAATTGGGCCAGCAACAACAAGGAAAAATAAAACCAAGCTTAACTAGGCTTTGGTTTTGGGGTGTTTGACCGAGAAAAGAAAATCCACTTCTATTGGATTTTGGGTTTTGTTTTTGATGCCTATAAAAGCAAGGCTTTGTGCACAATTTGTGCATGTTTTCCAGCCGAGAGAGAAGAAAAATTAGGGCAGCCGCGCAAGGGTTTTGTGCGAGAGAAAAAGAAAGAAAGTTAGGGTTTAGTTTTCGGTTTAACTCTCTTTTGGTTAGATCCTTCCAATCCTACTTTGTGGTTTAGGTGTGTGTGAAAAAGTATTGGTGTAATCCACCTTTGGGTGAAGTCCTGTGTATCCACTGGTTGGTGAAGATTGTTTTCCATTATTGTAAGAGTAGAGATTTGACTGTTGTTACAGTCCCGTGATTTTTCTCGATTTGGGTTTTCACGTAAATTCGTGTGCCTCCTTTATTTTATCAATTCTTGAATTATTTTACTTGTTTGCTTGTCCTATTTTATTGATAGTAGGAAAAGAGATTTTCTTGGGGTTGGCTTCCGTAGTGTGTTGTGTTTATGCCCTTTCTGCCACAAGAGAAAGCAATAGGACAGAGAGGATGGGAAGGAGTATTGATTTTTTTGTTTTTGTTTTTTTTTGTTTGAAAGAAGGATGATGGACGTGGGAGAAAGGCTGGGAAAAGAGAGATGATGTAGAAGAGGAGAAGAAAGGAGGTTTTGGTGTGGTTTTGTGGGGTTTGTTGTTGGTGTTTCGGCTAGTGTCGTGGTAGTAGAAAAAGAACAGGAGAGAGGCGCTTGCAAGGAAAGAGGGGCCGACTATAGAGTAGAAAAAGCGATGGCGGCGGCAGGGAAAGGGAAGGAGGCGTCCGACCAAAGAAAAGAGGCGAAGAGGACAGGTTTTTTACTTGGTCGTTTTTTTATAGTGGCAATGGCCAAGGGAAGAGCCGAGAAAGCTTTGCAACAGCGAAGGAAAACTAGGGAAAATAAGATATTGTTTGGTTATTTTTTATTTTTTGTAAAAGATGACGATGAAATGCGGAAGGAGATGGTAATCATGAAGAAAAGGAGGAAGATTATGGTTATGGAGGATTGCTGCGTGGGTGGTAAGGCTTAGGGGATTGTTTTTTATTTTTATTTTTTTGGTAAGACTCAAATGAGGATGATGATGAAGAAGACACATGGAGGGAAAAAGACAAGAAGGGTTGTGTATGCCGACTGCAAAAGCGAGGTGCCGACAATAAGGGAAGAAGTCGGTAACCTAAAGATGAAGAAGAAGAGGGTGACTTTGGTGGTTCCGACATGTGAGGAAGAAAGAGAGTAAGCGGAAGAAGAAGAAGGAGAGGGTGGCGGCCAAAGGAGTAGACGAAGAAAAAAAAAATATAGGCTTTGTAAAACTGGCTCGATACCAACTTAGAGAATGGAATTGTTTCAATTGAGCAATTGATCTATGACTATTACATATGTTTATATAGAGAAACCTACTAGAATAACATCACATGAGATAACATCATATCTAAGATAAACTAACCACAACTCTAGATAATTAACTACACAATATCACTAACTCTACATAATTATCACATGTGATAATTATCATATTGACACTTATCCTTTCATTTTAATTCAATAAAAGGCTATAGTTATTATCTTAACTCAAAAAAAAAAGTTAATTCAACCTTTTTAGTTCATAATTCTCATGGATTTTATTGAATGATGTTAGACGGGTTCTTGTGGTTTCCTTTTTCTTTCGAACCCCATTTTTGTGCTTGGATTTTGTTTGGTTATTCGGACGTAACAATCACATTTTTTTCTTTACTTAGAAACAAAATTTTGCTTTTAAAATGATATGCAATCTGCAGGTATATAGTCAAGATGGCGTACATGAAATAATAAGATTGTGAGTAAATTACTTGATTGTTCGATTAATCAAGTTTCAGGATCGGTACCAAAGATATGCATTTTGTAATCTAGTATTTTTCTCTTTCCCAATCTGATACAAAACATACAATTAACATGCATAAAAGTCCAAGGGTTCATCCAAAGGCTCCATCGATGGATTTACATTCTCAAGCATCCAATGGAAGTGATCGAAAAAAAAAACCTCGCAACTAACAGTTATATACTGGTTGACCTTGCTACTAATAGTTATACACTGGTTGGAGACTTAGAGTCGTTGGAGGATAGTTCCACAAGCTCCTTGAAAAGTGGGTTCTCAATGGTTTCAGATGGGAGAAGATACCGGCAGCGATACTGACCGACATAGACGGGATGCAAGCCTACTCTAATGGCAATGTAGTTGGGGACGGAATTATCTTCAAAGTCAATGGCCATTTAATTTTGATTGTTTTTTTTGTCTGTGAGTATGATTGAATCAAAAGTACAAAGAATGGCTAAAATTTGGGTTTCTTTGGTAAGCCTTTGGTGTTTTTTGGAGGATGGGACAGTGAGATGTCGGTAGCTTAGCTTACATCATTGATACTAACTTAACCGTGAAATAAAGCATAAATAAAAGATGCCAAAAAGAAGTAACGGAGAATCTTATGACCTAAGGTTCCGAATCCAAAATAGGCATGCAAATGTGATTAAAGACTTATGATAAGAAGTGTGTTGTCTCTCAAGATCCTCTCTTGTTTGCTTATAATCATTTTTTTGAATTGAATTTAATTTAGTAATTTAGATGCAATATGGGAAATGCAGATGCCGGGTGAGACTAAGAGGACCAGTAGTGGTGGAGGTGGGGGGAGACAATGTAACAATAATAGAGGAATTTGATGCGAATGGATATCCTAAAGTTCATGGTGTATATTCAGCCGAAGACCTCAGATCTCTCACAGATCCTAAGGTACATCCATTAAATAGTTGTCACCTTTGTATTTTCTAAGATTCAGTATTTATTCTATTTTGCTTCAGTGAATGTATTCTTGTAAATCTACATAAGTTCAGTCTTAAATGTTGATTTTTTAATGATTAGCCTAAGAGGATTATAATAGTATCCTCTGATGAAGAAGATGAGCTTAAAGATGAAACAGTTAAAGGTTAGTTTTATTAGTGCATCGCTCGACAACTTGATTTTCACTATTACTTCTTTATCTATCTCGCATGTTTGTAAGTGACCATAGATAGCTACGATTCATCGGCCCTTCAAATGTTCTTTTATTGTAGGAAATCTGGGTACAAACATCAAAGAAGTTATATCTAAGAAAATGAAGAATCACGGAATTGGAATCCCTCTTGATTTGAAGGAGGAAGACGATATTATCAATTCCAAAGAGGTAACTAATTAACTTATGTTTTGTTGTTTTGGCTAGATTTGAAGCAATATTCAAAGTCATCAATGTTTGGTGCTATCTTGTTTCTACGATCAAATAAAATTCTGATCACCCCCTTTTGGGAAATGTGATCCGAATCATCTGAATATGACTTGGTGAATACAAGTGGAGGTCAAACTATTTAAACAGTGAAGGTAATTAGCTTTTGATCGCCCCATGACATGAGTATCGAACTCGTCAGATAATGAGTTAATTAGTTATAGACTATGTCACTGCATTTGTCTTAATACAAAAGCTATGTTTATTATTGAAAAAAAAACATGATTATTAATTTGGACAGGGGGAATATATTAGTTTATAATTCTAAGGATTAACAGTAAAAAATAGTTTAATAACTAATCGCTAATATTTCGTATTTTCCATTATACGCATGTTGGTAGCAAGGAAGTCATGAGCTGGCACGGATGGTAATGTGGGTTGCTGAAAAAATTGGGGCAGAAATAAATTTTGGCTATTTGGGCATGATTATGTATTGAATATAAAGTTTTGGCAGAACGTGGAGCATTTTTTTTTCTCATTTTTAATCTATTTTGCATTCCATTTCTTTTCAAGGATGTCATCCTTTTTCTAAAGGCAAAAACACAAACTTTTTTTTTACCAAAAAAATAACACAACCTTTTTAAACCTCAGATTAACATATTCTATTAGTTTGTTTATTTACATTACCAAATGCTCTAACAAGATCCCCAAAGGGTGGGAAGAACATTGATGCATACTACTCCCTCTAGTTCTATTTTTTTAAATGGAATAAAAAAATTCTTTTTTACACTGTTTAGTGAAGCAGTCAATATGCATGGTATGTTTTTTGTGGGTCCGAAAAAAAATTTATACACAATGAACAGTAATAATAACCAGAGGCCAGTTAGCAGAGCAGTATAATATATAGCACCTAGGTACACCTTACGGTGTATATCAAGCGCCCAAAAAAAGGGTAAAAAGGAAAAAAAAAATTAAATTTTCAATTTCTTAATATCTCTCCTAATTTTCAGTCATCATTAATCATATCCATCTAACTTTCTATCACAATCCAAAGACGTCTCAAACTAAAAAATTTAAAAATAAAATATTCTCTGCAGCGATTTGGCATCGAAACCTCTAGTCGGCGGTATTTTTGAAGACGGAATCTGATTGTGCATCACATCCCGTGAGTTTGGTTGCAATATATGCTGCTGACCGGTGAATTACTGTAAGATTTGAGATTATTCATCTATTTTGTGTTTTGACCGATGAATTTTGTTTGAAATTCTCAAAATCTTTGATTGAAAATTTTGAATTGCCAGTTCCAACGCGTTCGATGAATTGTCAGAGGTTTATAGATTTAGATCTCTTGCGAAAAAAGAACAAGATTCAGATTTTGTGAATCGCCAGAGGTTTATGATTGGGTTTTTTCTCTTTAATAATTGATGTGTTTTTTTATTGAGTTATGTAGATATAAGGTATGTGCATTCGATTATAGATTTTTGTTCATCAAGTTTTAAGTTTTCTTCATCGTTCTGTTGTTAGTTTTGGAAAAAACTAATGGATCTGGATATTGTTCATTAATTTGTGTTCGATATTCATCCTTGAAACTAGCAGATTCATCATAATAATTGTGTTATTAGCTGGTTATTAATATTAGTTTTTTGGTTAGGTTATGTATATCTAACGTCTCTGCATTCGATTATAAATGGTTGTTCACCAATTTGTTAGATTTGTTCATCCATTGGTTGTTGATTTTGGAAGGGTTCTATGTTCATTATTCAGCAGTTACCCTGCTATTATTCATCGATAATAAAGGGTTATTCATCATAATAATTGTGTTATGCGATTGTTATTCTTTTTTCTATTATTTTTTATTCATCTGAGTGGATAAATGGAACATGTATATTTTGGTCATATTCATCTGTAATATTTGGTTATTCATCTATTTGTATGTTCAACGTATTGTTCGAATGACCTATGCATATACGTAGATATAGTTATTCATCATTAAAACTATATAAGTATTCCTCCTAATGAATTTATGATCCTAATACATTACATTTTCTGATTTTAATAAGTAAAACATGATAATTCATCATACCTGTCAACGAATTCATCATACCTGTCAAGGTATTCATCATTGGTGAAATAGTTATTCATTTTGTATGTAATTGTTATTCATCATATTAACCTGACATGTTATATAGTTTTAATAGTTATTCATCATTTTAAAAATAATTATTCATCTTCAATAGCCTTGTTATTGATGATTAACAGAGTTTTGATTGAATGTGAAATCTCATATATTGTAATGTTGTTTTTGTTTGATCAGCGGCAAAAAAATTCTCATCAAAATGAAATCGATCAGTCGCAAATCAAATATTTGGTACTGAAATCAAACAATCAACATAAACGTATCGAGCATCACCGGATCTTTCAAGACCTTATATCTTAAAAAAAATGACTAGTTTTCTTGTTCAATTTTGATATAGTATACTACATAATTAGAATTTTGTTAGCTTAGTTGTTGACATTATCTCATTGTAAAATATACTTTTGTTAGTTTTCTTGATCAAAGTTATTCATTCTATTCCGCATTATTCATCCACTAACGATATATTATTCATTTATTAAAATACAATCATTCATCTTGAAAAAACTACATATATTCTTTATTTTAATATTGTTATTCATCTAGGATGGGATCATTATTCATCAAAATTTGTATCGTTATTCATCTTTGTGAATATTGTTACTCATTCATAAATTTACTCGTACACATATCCAGTTTTACCATTATAAAATCCATCATTTTAACAAAAAAAAATCATATGAAATAAAATAATATAAAAGCTAATAGGATAAGCATTAAAAAACAGTTTGAAGGGATAAAATTTAGAGAATTTAATGCGCACGTGGTGTCTTAAAATCCGGACTAAAAGGTTCACTTGTGTAAAAGGAGAGTGTATTACACATGCCCATGAGGTAAACCTTGCAAAGTGTACCTAAGTGCTTGTTATTATTTGCCGTCAGCAGGGGCAGTCGGTGTAGTGGCGCCCTCTCGCTTTTTTATTTTTATTTTTTTAAGAGTTTCAAATATTTTCTAAAGTGAACAATGTAATTGTTACATTTCATACCCTTCAAAAATTATTAAAAAATTTACAATTAGTTTATGCGAATGTGGAGCAATTTTTATATTACTCAATATATATTAAATAAAAATATCTTGAATAACAAAACTTTTGGATGTTTTTATTTAATTTCATATTTTTCAATTAATAATAATGTAGAATCTGTTAACAATAATGATATAAATGAAACATTACTAATTAAAGTCCAGCTCATATTTGAAATCAAAGTGGAAGCCAAGCTCTTAAATCACATAGAAGTAAAAATGCAAAAAAAAAAAAAATTAAAATATTAATAATAGGCTAAATAAATTATATTTATACAAAGAGAAACTGATAAACTAGAAATAAAATGGCACATCACACGAAGAGGGTATACCTGTAAGATGAATACTGAAACCATTATACTCCTAGTCTTTAGATCTCCGATTTATTAAAATATAATAAAAAAATGACAGTACTTAAGACTTACCATTATACCAAAGTACATGTTTTTCAAAAAGAAAAAAGATCTATCTAGCACAAAGCAATCTTCTAATCCTTTTCAAAGATTTCTGATATACGGGAAAGACTGCTGATCCAGGATCACAAGGCCTCGCATTTTAGGGGGTAGATTCGCAAACATTGGAAACTTTGCGAGCAGCCTGAGGAAGCTAGCTTAGTAAGACTATTTGCCATCGAATTTAGACTAAAATGTCCAAATGGTCCCTTGCATTTGGGCTTACTTGATTTTATGTCCCTAACATTAACATTTTAATATCGTAGTCCCAAACATTATGTTTTCACACTTTTTTGGTCCTATTTCACTGTTTCGACCACTTTTCCGTCCAACTCGATGTTGGCTTGCAGTTGAAATGCCGGAATCAGGTGTATTTTCCTCTTTTCATATAATTTGAACTTCCATTAAAATTTAAATCATTAAAAATATTATGAAAATTCACATTTATTATTTAATTGTTAAACTATTATTTATTAATTTAAAATATTATTTTAAAATTTTAAAATTTAAATTATTTTCAAAGTTACTTTTTTCTTTACTAAAGTAAATGTTAATTATGTTGCACTTTTAACCCCAACTCACTGTAACTGTAAAAATTTACTGAGTCACAGTAAATAATGTAAAATTCAAATTAAAAAAAAAACCAAGATTTTTTAATTTGACCGATACAATAAATCTTGAGTTATTTTTAAAATTTTATCGCGCTATAATAAATAATTCAAAATTCAAAATTTTTAAAAAAAAAAATACAAGAAAATTGTGGGGTGAAAATCCGAGTAAAAAATGGTTTATTTAAGTTTTTGGCTTAGTTATTGCTTTGAATTGGAGATATAATTTAAAATGTGGTTTCAGTGAAAATTCAAAAAGTTTTTGGGATAAAAATTCAAATAAATGATAATATTTTTACACCACCACCTCCACACCGACCGGCGGCGGCAGGAGGTGGTCCAGTGGTGGGCAGCGGTGGTGGACGTGTGGAGGTGGTGGTGTAAAAATAATATTATTTTATTTAAATTTCTATCCTAAAAACTTTTTGAATTTTCACTAAAACCACATTTTAAATTATATCTCCAATTCAAACTAAAAATTAAAATAAACCATTTTTTATCTAGATTTTCGCCCCCTCAATTTTCTACCCTTGGGCCCGCTGGATTTTTTACTTCAACTGAATAAAAAATTAGTCGCTGAAAATCCGGATAAAAAATTTAGTTTACTTTTCATTTTTAAACAAAAAATTGAATTTTGAATTAGTTATTGTAGCGCGGTTAAATTTTAGAGTGATACGGGGTTAAAAATAAAACGTAATTAATATTTATTTTGTATCCACCATAAATGATGAATAGAAAAAGTAATTTTTTTCAAAAAAA